CCTGCTGAAAGGTGTCTGCAACCTTCCAAATATTAAGTTTCTACCACCTACTAGGGAGGCAAGAAAGTGGATCCAAAAAAGATTACAAATGTTTTTAGAATTTCAAAAGCACATTTTTTCTCTCTCCATTGTTGAAAACACCTGATCTGTATTTATTCCTGATGTCCACAAAAAGAAAAATAAAATGCATCCAGCTGAGGGGGAGATGCTGCCACTAGGAGTTTGATAGGTAAAAATCTGACAGCTTAAAGAAAAGAGCTTGAAGGTGATGCTTTAGAATGAAAACAGTTGTGCAACAAAAATGATAACTGTGGCCTTGGCTATCATTTAATTAAGTTAAGTGTATAAAATGTGGCAATTACTTTAGCATATGTGCAAATTTTAAAAGTGATAATTGTGCTAATCGAAGTAGTCTCAATAAGACTTCCCTCAAACAAAAATCCTTAATCGCTGCCTAGTGGAGTTCTCTGCCCCTCCATCAAAAGCATTGGGAAATTGGAAGACTGTAGAAGGTGCCCTGAAGTTAATCCGATCCTTCCTAGATGAGAGCTAGGAAATGAATTCCAGAGATCAGGACATCTCTTCAAGAATACACTGACAGCATCCCTGTAATGGGGAAGGTTAGCTTGAACAGTTGAGTTAATTGACCTGCGATACAATGACAGAAGAAAAAACATTGGATCGCATTATCTGGTCTACTCTAGACATGCAAGTAGCTTTTAACTGTCACAAATCAAAGCAGAGTTTCAGTGTCTGTGCATCTTAGGCTGCATACACATGTTCAAATGATCTGGGAGAATTTTCATGGGTTTGTCCTTGTGATAGAAAAACTTATTTGGAGACCCCTGAACAGACATTCAAATGCTGTACCCCAATGCAGTTTAGGGGCCCTCAGTGCGCACATCTCAGCATGCTTTGCAAGCTCCATCTGCCTGGTGATAGATGACATTAGTGCACAGGGCAGCCCTGATTGGCTGACCCAGACTGCCTCTCAGGCTTTATCTCCCTGCAGCACAATGAAGGGGCTCTGTGCTTGGGTGGAGTAGTCAAATACAACCTGACTGATGCATTGTTTCCCTGGATCTGTGGGGCAGGGGGGTAGGAAGAATTGGTATCAAATCACTCTGGGAATACTGTGCTGCAGCTCCTCTCAGAAGGCAAATGTACAGGAGAAACTCCTGGGTTATCTTTCTCCTGGAATGGCCATTTTTGCTCTGGGAGAAAAATACTGAATGTCTGTATACTCATGGTTTCTACTGGGAAAGCAGCAACTCTCCCAGGAGAAACTGAATGTCTCTTACATGGCCTTAGAAGAGCTATTGTGCTTTGTTGTCCTTGCTGTCTGATTTGCAGAGTCTCCAGAAAGCCAAAAATCCTCAGAACATAGCATCTTCCCCCTGTATCTTAGGCTATTGGGTGTGGATACAGCTGACTGCCACCTGGGACTTCAGACACCTAAAAAACAGGTTTCCATCTCTTACTATAGCTATAAAAATCAACCATGAGGAATGAGGTGGAAGGCGTAAACAATGCAAAGTAAAGCATAGGAGCTTTTATGGCTGAAAATTAAAAGGAGAAGTTAGCATGAAAAGGAAACAGAACATGGAAGAAAGTGTATAAAGTGAAAAGAATAATAAAGGTGCTTTGTTAGCACAAAGGTCAAGTTTTGTGCAGAAGGGGACAAAAAGAGGATAAGGAGCCAATTAGTTTGCCAGGGGGTTAAAAACCAAACCCTGAAATGAAAAGCCTGAATTTTGTAGCCAAGAGGCAGGTTAGAAGACATAGGTAAAAATATGCAGCGAGCAAGTTGGATAGGGAAAGTTAGGTGTCATAGATGACAGAATATAATGAACTACCAGGTTACTGTGGACAGTGAAATGCTATTCAAATGATTAAAGAATGGACTGGGTTTGTAAGACTGAGCTGAAATTGTCAGTTTTCTGGAAACATGGTTCAGTTTTGTACTCCTTTCTTTTTTTTTTTTTTTTGCATGGAGTAGGTATATTAGAGTCTGTTGCAAAGCTGAGAGGAAGCCCTTTGAATGACAATTAAGGGACCTGAACTGTGCAAATATATTGTATTCAGAACAATGTTTTGCTTTCAATCAGTAAAATGTGTATTGTGAATCTTTCTCAGATGTGTGCTTGTTCTCCCAAAATATATAGTGAAGTAGGCATTTCCTGTGAAGAATATAATTAGGGACCTACTTAATTTTGCGGTTTTGTGGTTTTAATGGAAACCACAGAATCTGGGTTTGTCTGCGAAATTTGTGAAATCAACCAAAAAGAAAAAAACATAATAAAAATAAAATGCTGCCTCCCCAGTGAGAGCCAGTGGTCCTCGCTGCCGGGACAGGAAGGCACTGGCTGGTGGACGAGATGGCTGCTGCCCCTTCATCCTTTCTCCCCCAACTGGGGCCTGTCCACCAATCAGCACCGAGGGACAGGGCTGCACGAAGGGCAGCCAGCAGTCAAGATGATGGCCACCCTCTCCTCTGGGACCTGTCTGCCAATCAGTGCTGAGGGGCAGGGCCTCTTCCCCAATCAGTGCTGGAGGGCAGGGCTGCCACAAAATGACTGCAGAATTAGAGCTTTATACCACTATCAGGCTGCAAAAATTGGTAAGTCTCCCTGTGATTTAGCTAAACCCCTAAATGTAATGTATGTTTTACTAGACAGTTCTTAAAAAGACTAGGGTATGTGAGAACTGGTTCCATGATAAGCACAGTCTTTGTGGGGGTTTTGTATGTAGAGACAGATTCTCAACTAATATTAATGGGACTAGCTTCTTTGAGGCCAGCAAAACTTCCAGCCATTTACCTCAATTAAGGATATGGTCTGTTGTTTCAAGGTGTTACCATTCTGTATTTGGTTAGAGATTTATCATGCCAGATTATATCTACACAAAATTATTTTAGGAACGGTTTAGATGCATGATATATTTACCCCACTGTAATTTGCCTTGGATTTTATTCTGGAATAAAACCATACCAATGTGCTGCGCAGACACATGACAAGCTCTCTAGGGTTAATTGTACCCAGTAGATGCTACTAAAATGCCTTGCCATTGGGTCATGAGTGAGCTGGTAATAGCCCATTTGCTCTGAGCAAACACCTGCTCTGGAATGAAATGGATTTGAGCTGTGGAGACTCAACACGCTCCTGATATAACTTTACCCAGTAGCTACAGGTTTTTTTCCAGGAGCAATTTTATCCTGGGATTGAGTAATTTACTCCCCAGTTACTGTATGTCACATCTGCTTCATCTTTAAGACAAAGTAAAGTCAATTTATTCCTTTGGGTAAACATCATGGCTGCTTACAGACGTGAAAAAAACCCAAATGGTGTTTTACTTTCAGCTCAGCGTGCCCCTATGCCAAGTGCAGCACATGCCCAGAAGAGGCATCGCATTAATTTGACCTAGCTTGCTCAACGTCTGTATAGATCGGGCATCACCCAATGCCTGATAGATTAGATGCTTCAGCAGGACTTTCTGGCACTTTTATCTAATAGCCGATTGAATCTGCTATTAGATAAAAGTGCCAAAAAACCCTGCTGAATTGCGTGATCTATACAGGTGCTGGGGAGCTGGGGGTCAAACTAATGCGCTTCGTCTTCTGGTAAAGTGCTGGTTTTTTGTTTGGTTTTTTTTTCATGTCTGCCAGCGACCCGTTTGTCTGCACAGAAGTCAGTTCGAGTCATTTCAAGAACAAGATTGGCATCTAGGCAGTTGAAAAATAT